GCATATTTTTTGCAAATCACATGCTAGGATTTCATTATCTTTATAGTTGTTTACAACAGCACATAAATTAGTGTCATCTGCAAATTTTGAAATTTTAGACTTTATTCCTATATCTAGATTGAGAGACTTTCTCCAATACCAACTTTTTGCCGTACTAGAAATATTATATATATATATATATATATATATATACATCCAAACACACACATTCACTCACACACACAAACAACAAACACACACGCGCACACACACAAACAATCAAACACACACGCACACACATTCAGAAATTCTAAGTCAGCATAGGCCGAGTTACGACAGGCGCATTTCTAGCGCGTCGACGATGTTGATGACAACCGGCGAATACAACAACGTCAACTACAACGTCAACAACAACATCAACCACAACATCAACCACAACATCAACCACAACATCAACAACAGCAGCAGCGGTATGACGTCATCCTCCCATTTAGGGCATAACAAAAACGTTGGGGGCGGTGGGAATTTCAAAAGTGAGAGCGGGAAAAACCCATTCCACTTACCGTCTGGCCACTATTCGCACTATCAAGATTATAACTGTTAGTACGTCGTTTCATCAATTTATTATTATGATTATTATTATTTTTATTATTATTGTTGTTGTTGTTATTATCTGTTTTTTTTTAAAAATAATAAAATTAAAAACAATTTTTTTACACAAATGCCAGCGCTTCAATTATAAACCGTTTTTAATGGCAGTTTGCAGACGTGAAGCGTTAGGTTTAAATGCCAGAATAAATTCTAAATTGTTGATGTTTAGAAATTACTTTTAGAAAAATAGAGAGAAAGAGAGAGAAAAAAAGAGAAAAGAGAAGAAAAAGAGAGAGAGAGAAAAAAAGAGAGAAAAGAGAAGAAAAAGAGAGAGAGAGAGAGAAAGAGAGAAAAGAGAAGAAAAAGAGAGAGAGAGAGAAAGAGAGAAAAGAGAAGAAAAAGAGAGAGAGAAAAAGAGAGAAAAGAGAAGAAAAAGAGAGAGAGAGAAAAAGAGAGAAAAGAGAAGAAAAAGAGAGAGAGAGAAAAAGAGAGAAAAGAGAAGAAAAAGAGAGAGAGAGAGAGAGAGAGAAAAAGAGAGAAAAGAGAAGAAAGAGAGAGAGAGAGAGAACAAGAGAGAAAAAAGAAGAGAGAGAGAGAGAGAGAGAAAGAGAGAAAAGAGAAGAAAGAGAGAGAGAGAGAGAGAAAAAGAGAGAAAAGAGAAGAAAGAGAGAGAGAGAGAGAGAAAAAGAGAGAAAAGAGAAGAAAAGTGAGAGAGAAATGTAGATGGAATGTGAACAAAATTTAAAACTTGGATAAAAAATTTACATTAAGTTTAATGAAATTTTTCATTTTTTAATCATTTTCATTTTCTTTCCAAGGAAAAACTGTTAAAGGAAATTGCAGTTGCTGCTGCTGATGGCAGTGATGACGATGTTGAAGAGGAAGATGAAGATGATGATCTCTTTCTTTCTCTCTCTCTCTCTCTCTCTCTCTCTCTCACTAAGCCGAAAATGACTACGACTAATAAATAGAAACATCGTCGTCGTCGTCATCATCGTTGTCATCATCATCTTCTTCTTCTTCCTCATCTTCATCATCATCTTCTTCTTCTTCCTCATCTTCATCATCATTTTCTTCCTCATCTTCCTCATCATCATCTTCTTCTTCTTCATCTTCATCATCATCTTCTAATTTTTCCTCATCTTCATCATCATCTTCTTCTTCTTCTTCCTCATCTTCATCATCATCCGCATCGTCGTCGCTGTAATGAAGATGATAGATACGTAAAATCAGAAAAAAAAGACATCAAACCATGTCACTAAAACCGGAGTCTTGCTTATGCATCTCAGTAATTTATAAGTGACGTCATCGTCAGCACAAAAAACAACAACAACACTAGCAACAACACTAACAACAACAACAACAACAGTAATTAGACCAATAAATCAAGCAGGAAGATAATTGCTCGGACTACAAAATGGCCTCAAATGACTCACCATCATTATAATAATAATAATAATAATAATAACTAACAATATTTTTACTTTTATTATCGCCGTCATCATCATCATCAAAATCATCATCATCATTACTATAAAATTAGTATATAGGTATGTGTAAACGTTTTCTTCAAGGTTTCACTCAATTGTTTACTCACTCATTCACTCATTTGTTCACCTACTCATTCACTCATTCGTTCATTCATTCATCCATTTAACTATTCAGTCATTCATTGACTAACACATACATAAAAGCCAGGTAAAATGCGAGTTACCGTTGTTACTTAATGCGTGTCCTTCCTTGTAGCTACTGCTTGTAATCTTTTTCATCATCTTTTCTCCACTCACTCTCTCTTTCTCTGTCATTCTCTTTCTCTCTATCTTTCTCTCTCTCTTTCTTTTTCTCTTTTTCGCTCTCTTACTCTTTTCAAAATATACATTAATTCAAAATTAATGATGGCTAAACATTATTTGACGTTGTAAATACGTACTTACATACGCACTCACGCACGTACGCACACACACACACACACATACACGCATACAGACATACACACACACATACATACACACACACACACAAACACACACACACAAAAGACGGAATAGTTACATGGAATGATTGATAGCTTAAATCATCCACAATTCCAACACTTTTTCTTGTATTTCGTTATTGATCGATTGATTGGTTGGCTGGTTGGTTTATCGGTTAATTGGTTGATTGTATAGTTGATTGATTGACTGATGGATTTGGGTCAACAAAAATACACACACACACACACATATATATATATATATATATATATATGTATATATATATATAGTTAGTTTGTTATATATATATAGGTATACAAAGGGGCAAAAATTATGTAAGGATGATTATGACGATAAGGACGATGATGACATCATAATAATGAGTAAGTTTTTTGATATATCTCTTCATATTTAATCTTCTCATTAGTCAATAGAGAGAGAGAGAGAGAGAGAGAGAGAGAGAGAGAGAGAGAGAGAGAGAGAGAGAGAGAGAGAGAGAGACTTCTCATGACGCCAATCATTGTCAAATAAAAAAAGTCTTTCAAATTTAAAATTCGCTTCTTTATTACAAATTAATAATAATAATAATAATAATAATAATAATAACATTATTATTATTCATTATAACAATAAATTGTTATGAATATATATACATATATATTTATATTTAGTTATACATTCAAGTCGTCTTATTTTATTGTCGGTTCTATAATATTTAGACACATTTTTTTGCATAAGATGAGGCTCTAGGTACAAAATACTTACGTACGTACATACATACTCACGTACACACATACGTACATACACACAAACGTACATATGATTGTATGTATTCTTAGGTATATATATACGTATAACGTATTTTTTTCTATCGGAAACACGCGCGTCTTCAAATCTATTTTTAGCATTTTAAAGAAACATTTTATTCATTCGTTCGTTTGTTCATTCATTCGTTCATTCATTCATGCATCCATTCATTTGTTTGTTCATTCGTTCATTCAAACTTTGTTCATTCATTCATTCATTCACCTTTTATTTTTTCATTCAATTCTTCTTTGCATCTTATACCTCAAGAATTTATGACATTGCCATGCATAATTTATTTTATTTTTGTCCCTTAAATTTCTTAAAATGCCAAATATCAAATGTATTGGATATACATATTTATATTTTTATGTAAATATATAAATATATATATATATATATATATATAATTTTACCATAATTAACTGATGTTCTTTATCTAATTCAGTGTTTTTTGATGTCTTATTGTTCCAAAATCGATTTGCTTTAAGATTCAAAATTTTAGACTTTATTTTGAAAAGATACTTTGATAGTGTGCGGTTCGTTTGTTCATTCGTTTGCTCGTTCATTCATTTGTTTTTTCTTTCGTTTATTCATTCATTCATTCATTCATTCATCCATCCATTCATCTATACCTTCATGTGTTGTCTTGCAGCTTAGTTGTAGATGGACTAACATGACATAGATTTTTTCAAAGTGTTCTTTGCTACTTCTGTTGAATAATTTTCAAAGGTTTTATATCTATGTATCGATTAATTTATTTTCGTTTATATTAATTATTTTTTCAAAAAAATGAATCTATGAATTTTCATGAAGCATATATATATATATTATCCTGAATATTTTAAATTTCAGAAAATAACCAAATTGAAAATTATTTTTCTTTGTTGCTTATTTCTTGGATGACGTCAACGACGACAATAATAAATAAATACGTGGACGATAATAAAGTACCAATGAATAATTATATTTTAATTTTATATTTTTAGATGAATTTTTCTGACTGACCTAACTGATAATGATATAATATATTCTTATTATGTTCTTTGTTGGTGTTGTGATTTGTGCTATATAAATATTTTTCTTTCTTCAATAATAAACAATAACATACAAACACACATACATACATACAAACAGACACACGCACACATAAATACAAACACACACACACACACATACATTCACACACACATACACACACACAAACATAGAAATTTTAAACAAACTTATAAGCACTTTCTATGTATCGATTTCAGCGTGCTAATGAATTGCGTATTGCTCAAACTGAAAACTAATGTTAAAGTCATTTTATTCTGTTGAAATTAAAGAAATATAATAATAATAATTATTATTATTTTTTATTATTATTGTTTGTTGTCTTATTATTATTATTTTTCGCACATTATATTGTATCTTAATCTCATCAAACTTGAAAAATTTTGATTTGCTCTTCTCAATAGCATGAGAACACACACACTCACATAGTCACACACACTCACATAGTCACACACACTCACATAGTCAAATGTTTGCAAATGTCTATTCATTAAAACGGTATATATATATATATATATATATATTATTTCTTCTATTCATATATCTCCAATTTAGACATAATATTGAATAATAACGTTATTAATAATTCCTGATAAATTGGTTTTATTTTTGAAGATTCGAAGATGAATAAAATGAAATCATTGAGTTCTATTTCTATATAATGGTTTGTTTGTCTGTTTAATTGTTTGTGTGTTTGTTTATCATAATGATTTTATTATTTAATTTTTTTAAATTTAAATTTAAAATTTTTTTATCTACACCGAAATCTTTCAAAATTATAAATCAAAATAAGTCTATAATGTTAACACAATTAAGGTTGCATCTATGTCTAAAAGCACTGGCATCACATGTAATCATTAATAGTTATAACTTCAGAACTAATTAGTTATTTAACCTCTAACATAGTAGAAATACTCACCTACCAGATACTAATAAAAACAAAATAATGTTATATCATTATGATTGACGAAAGTATTGAAAAATGGTTTGGCAATAAAAAATAAAAGTTACTATTTAGTTTGATCGGTGTGATTCGTCATCTTCATCATTATAAATGTTCACCACATCATCGTCTTCATCATCATCGTCCTCATATCATCATCGTCCTCATCATCATCATCATTCTTGTCGGTGCCCTACTGAATGACGTCATCACCAAAAGAAAAAAAAACAACGACGCATTCTTTAACGCAAAATACTCTTCCAAAGAAGGACATAGCAAAAATTATTCAGCCGTCAAATTATATTTACGATATCCGATATTATTCGATGGAGGTTTCAGAAATCTGTTTCAGGAATTGCTGTGGTCGTTGTGGTTGCTGAGTGCCACTGCTGCTGCTGCTGCTGCGGTTGGTAGTTGCTACTGACGTAGTAGTGTTGCCGTTGTTGTTGCTGTTGTTGTTGCGGGTGGTCGCTTCTAGGCGAGGCAATTAATTGCACAGATGATTTAACGACGTGTTTCTGTTGTTGTTGTTGTTGATGATGTTGTGGCTGATGATGTTGTTGAAAGTGCTGTGGACTTGATGAGAAGTTTTGTTGTTGTTGTTGCCAGTTTTGCGTGCGTTCATTTTGGTAGGGAGCCAGCATCGCTTGATCCTTCTCCAGCAGTTGAGCCAGATGGGACTGCCCACCTTTCGGTTGTTGATAAACAGGAGCGCCACCCCCAACACTCACAACATTTCCATCCTCTCGAATTTTTTTCTCTCCTCCCCCTGTTCTGCCCATCTTTTCTTCTTCTTGGAGAGCTTGGAGGACAGCTGACTGACCGGCGATAAACTCCTTCTTGGCTGTGCTTCCTGTTGGCGTTTTCAGGTTGCCTTCGTTCCGAGGCGGCAGACTGCAAGATGAAAAAGTAAAAATAATTAAAAAGAAAAATCAAATTTGTTTTTTTTTATAAACGTTAATCAGAACAACTGAACCAACATCTTTCCAGTGTAGTTGAAATTATGTTGCCTTCCAGAGAAATCTGGCAGTCCGCTCTTGGCGTGTAGTCCATGAAGATAAAAATCTGTCATCGGATCAAGATCGCTAGTGGGCGCATTTGAAGCCGCTGCGGCTGGTTTTTGGTGGTCGTATGAAGGTTGATGCTTGCTGGCAGCTGTTGCAGCTGCCACTGATCTTTGCGGTGGTTGCTGGTAGCTTAATGAAGTTCCGAGTGGTTTGGTATCCACTGCTCCACGTTGAATCAAGCCTGGTGGTCTGTTCACTGGCTGCTTCGCAATTTTGTTGACGCCCTGGAAGTCGAGAGGATTGTAGGAAGAGCGTTGCTGGTAGACTGCTGGGAATTTTACTGACTGGATGTGGTGGTCGGCGAGAGCCGCTGGTTTGATTGAAGGTGATGGTGGTTGAAATTTTGTTGTTGAGTGAATGGAAGGAGCTTGCTGTTGTTGTGGCTGCTGTCGCTGCTGCTGTTGCTGACGATGGTGTTGAACTGGCGGATGTTGGTAAGCTGGCTGTTCGGCGTGCATTTGCTGATGAATTTGGGAAGGCGAGTGTGGGCCGTCTGCAAAGATTTGAAAGGTTGATTCCAAGTTTTTTTTTCAAATAGTATACAATCATTTGTTTTTTAACGTTTATCAGAATCTATATTTTATATTCAATGAAAAATAGAAATTTTTCCAACCATAATTCGCATGGTTGAACATCTGCTTAACATCTCTCACTGACTTCAAGTGCTCATCGTCAACTTGCTTCTCATCTTTTTGTCAGTAAAATTTTGTTTAACTTCATTAAAACATATTGTTAAAATAATTTTTATATAATAATAGATAGTTATATTTAATTTATTTAATATATTTAATTTATTAATTTATTATATTTCCCAACCCACCAGAATAAATGAAATGTTCCTGATTGGTTGGCTGCCAAGTCACGTGAGAGGTGGCGTGTTGTTGGGGTTGGGGTGAAAATTGTTGTTGCGGGGAGAATGATTGATGCTGTTGTTGATGCTGAGAAGGTTCGTAAGTTCGTTGTTGTTGTGAATGATAATGTTCATGTTGCACCGGTATTGCATGGCTTACCTTGATGCGTGCGTGTATGTTTGTGTTGGTTACGTGTGTGTTTGTGTTTGTGCGTGTATGTGTGTACCCCAAAAGCA